TCTATCTATCTATCTATCTATCTATCTATCTATCTATCTATCTATCTATCTATCTGTCTATCTGTCTAGCACATTGTCATTTTCGTGGTTTTTATTTTAAAATCTTTTTTTTGTTGTCTGTTTCTTTTTTTTGATGTGTAGCGTCTTTCAGATACTCCGAGTTCCACATGCTGCTGTCCGTACACACGTAATAGGAAACAAACAGCAAACAAAGTCTGTGGTTGGCGGGTGCTCTGGTGTGGTTCGCTTCTTCTTTCTTATAAAAAATCTATCTTCTGTATCTCCCCTCCTTCTTTTTTTATATTTGTTACTCTCTTGTAACACCTCTAATCTTCGGCACTTATATGACCTTATTGTGTTGCAAGTGCCGTAAAACTCTTACTAAAACTAAACTATCAAACATCTATCGTCCTCATTTCTCCACCTTCATTTTGTGTTTGTTACTCTCTTGTAACACCTCTAATCGTCTGACACTCATATTGTGACCTTATGCAGTTGCGAGCGCCGCAAAACCTCTACTAAAACTTAAAACCAAACAATACCAAACAAAAACAAACAACCCCCCCCCCAACAAACAAACAAACAAAATGCTATAGCGGTGGTTGCTTGCTGCACAGGCCCAGTGTGCCCCCCACCAGAGATGTATGGTCAGCTACGGGTGTGTGGGCCAGGCCAACTGTCAGGGTCACCTCAACTACACGTGTGTCTGTGAGTATTTGCTTTGACTTTAGTTTAGACCTTGACTTTGACTTTGGTTTTGATTTTGATTTTGACTTTGACTTTGATTTTGATTTTGACATTAATTTTGACCTTGACTTTGATTTTGACTCTGTGAGTATTTGCTCTGACTTTGATTTTGACTTTGCTTTTCATTTTGACTCTGACTCTGATTTCGATTTTGACTTTGATTTTGACTTTGATTTTTGATTTTGACTCTTTGACTTTGATTTTTGATTTTGACTTTGATTTTGACTCTGTGAGTACTTGCTCTGACTTTGATTTCGACTTTGATTTTGACTTTGACTTTGATTTTGACTTTAATTTTTGATTTGACTTTTTCATTCTCTGTTAGCTCAGTGTCTATCTTGCTGCTGCTGCTGCTGCTGCTGCTGCTGCTGCTGCTGCTGTAATCACTGATCCTTAAGAAAGATGGCCAAGGGTGGTTGGCGGGTGCTCTGGCGTGGGTTTGCTCCTTCTTTCCTATATAACAACTATCGTCTTTATGTTTGTTACTCTCTTGTAACACCTCTAGTCTTCGGCATGATAATGATAATAATAATAATGATGATGATAGAGAAGCAGAAGATGAACACAACAACAACAACAACAACAACAACAACAACAACAGCAACATTAACAACAAACCCTTTCTCTCTTCGCCTCCCTCCACCCCACCTCCCCGCCTACCC